ACCATTAAAATTAACAAAATGCTTACAAAAATTAACAAAATGCTTACAAAACTACAAACTGAACGAATCTGATTTTTTTAACAGTGTGTTAATGGTTTTATAACAAGTAAAAAGGTTGGGACTGTCAACGAAATTGGTTATGTTCGTTTTTTAGAATGTTCTGTTATCACAAACATAAATTTTAACAACAAAAGCCTCCACTGTTTGGATAAAAGAGAAACAATCCTTTAATTGCCCAAGTCTTGGGGTTATGTCAGGCATAAAATAATAACGCGACTGTCGTTTAAAAAAACAAGTGTAAAACCCTTTATATCTGTTGGCGGCAATGTTAAGCCGCGTTTTCTTATAAAAAGGGATTTTTATTTATCTGGCTGGTTTATTAAACTGTAAATCTTCGCTTCATCAAATATTTTTGTGCTTTTTTGGCTTGCTTTTTTATTGCGAACCACATTAAATATTTTCCACTTTGGGTAATTTGCTGGCAAATATTTTTTGCCTTCTGTTTTCAATTTTCTCTGATCCTTTTAAGCTTTTAAGTTTTAATAAAAAAAACTTCAGATACAAATACATTTGGTATGAAGTTGGTTTTCAAGTTAACTATTATCATATTATTTTATTATCACTGAACAATGTCTCGTAGAATCTCCCTTAATTAGACACATAATTAAATTCGGGGCGATTAGGGTATACGTAATAAAATAAGTTTTCCAATTAATTAACTTTTCCTCAAGATCCACAGGTGTTTAGAATTGGTAGAACATTGACTAATACACGCACATTTAAATCGAATAGTTGACAATTACTTTCGGTGTTCCATTCACCAATTTTAATTAAAAACATATTAACCCACTTGCCTTTTGGGCTAATTCCTGTCCAATCCCTAGCAAGGGTTGTACAGCCTCGCACGGTACAAAGAACATAGCTTTGTCATTAAAGTAAGCATTGTAAGCTTTGCCGTAGTAAAATTGGATGTTAGGGATTGAGGAATTAAACATTTTTGATTAGTTTAACGCTTTGTTAATTAATCAAACAGTTCTCTTTTTGAAATATAACACTAAAGTCAATCAGTCAAGAAGACATTTTTATAAAAGAATAATTCATATATAAAGGAATAATTCATTTTATTAACTCCATTAACGTCAACTCCACGTTTCTGGAGGCAAGGAACGTAATACTTTCATATATTGTTTTTTACCAAAAATTAGAAGAAAGCCACATAAATTTAATTTGGCTTTAGGAAACATTGTGTATAGTTTTTATTAAAAGAATTTTTAATGGGGTTTTGATAAAAATTAAAAAGTGTTTGTAGAAGAAACGTTCATAAACTTTCTCAAAATATTTCATTTCAAGATCAAACTTTTTTGTTATTCTACAAATAGCAATTGTCGATATATGAAGTTTTTTATTTTATATTTCTTTGTTAGCATATAATTTAAAACAAGAGAAGAAGAAGTTTGCAATTTAGTTAATGCAACGTAAAATTGAACGGAAATTCAGAGAGACTGGACATGTCAACAATATTCCAAAACCGAGTATTAGTGAAGACACTAAATTTGATATTTTGTTACGTATGGAAGAAGATCCTTACAGTGCTTCTAGCCTAGTCGCAGCTGAAAGTCAAGTCATCCAACGCTCAGTATTACGTTTTGTGAAGAAAGAAAAGTAACATCCATACAAAATTAGACTAGTGCAGGAACCTAACGAAAATGATCCGGACCGTAGACTATAATTTTATAAAACTTTGATGAATTTATGTAACAATAATCCACACTTTCCTCGTAAAATACTTTTTTCGGACGAAGCAACCTTCTGTTTGAATGTTACAGTCAACTGTCAAAATTGTAGGTACTGGAGCAGAGAAAATCCTCATTGGGTAGTAGACTAAAATTCCCAATACCGGCAAAAAGTGAATGTCTGGGCAGAAAGGTGGAAAATCGGATCATAGGTCCTTTCTTCTTTGACGAGAATATAACAGGAAAACCGTTTTTGGAATGTTTGCAAAACTCTCTTCTTTCCACATCAGCAAAAATATTTCCCAATGAGAATGGAGGTCTAGATCTACCAAGTATGACCTTTGGTTTCAACAAGACGGGACACTATGCGCTTTTTTGGACAGATATTTTCCTGAAAGGTAGATTGGCAGACGAGGACCGCAAGATCTCCGGATCTCAACCCTCTCGATTATTTCTTATGGGGATACCTTAAATTGAAGGCCTAATTTTAAGCATTTTTATGATGATAAAAAATATTGTTCTGTATTTTATATAAATCATTTAATAATTTTAGATTTAGGATAAAACAAGAAATTGAAGAAAATGAAAATGTCTGCCGGTTAAAAATAAAAAATTTCAATTCGTATACGTAATGGACAAGTAGAAATGTGGCGTTGCGGTTTAACACAAAGTTCAAATCTCGAATTGGACGTTTAATTCAGTTAAATTGCCCGTGAAGGAACGAATGCCGTTTCAAAGGCTTCGATTGAAACAAGAAGAAGAAGACTATAGTTTAAGTTAAATTGATTCCGACCTGATTACTTTCAAAACAAATTCAATTCATTTGCTTTAATTAAATTTAAAAATTGAAACTATGACTTTAAAAGCACCCCAAAAGCGTTAGGATTACGACAATCCATTAGCTCATCCTCAGAATAACTTTCTTAAACTTTTAAAGCGCTGTATTTAAACACGCAAACAAGCATTGAAACGAGTATTACTAACGATCCAAAATAAATTTGTCTTTGTGGCTTACCTATACAGCATGGCTAAAAAGACTTAATACTTGCTTTAGAAGTCTCCTATTCAAATAAAATGTGCTATTTCAGAAGTGCAATATATCAAGCCTGCAACTATTAGTGTCAACAGGTTTAAATTCATTATGTTCTATATATTTCTTCCACATATGAGCTCATACGTCACCTCGAGTAGTACATTTATACAAATAAGAAAATATACCAACAAATATTTTAGAAATTTTTAGAAAACACTAATATACAATTTTTTTATAGAATACATGTTTTAAATATTCTGTCTGTTCTTGCATAAAATATTATGCAAAAATATTTTAAAATTTGTTCTAAAAAGCTTTTAGTTTAGTTTTAAAATGCAAATCCAAATTTATATATTGTAATACAAACATATCCCAGGAAATTAGTAAACTAATGAATTGATCGTTAAAGTAAATACTGAATCAATAATATACAGTGTGTTCTGAAAATAATGCACTAACCATATAGAAATGGATATTTTAAAATACAACAAAAAGCCGACAAGTAGTATTTAAATTAAAAGGGGTTATAATTTTTTTATAAAAGGATAAAAAACACTTTTTTAAAATAAAAAAATACAACTTTAATACTTCAATAATAATATTAATAATAATAATAATTAAATTAGGTTTGCGGAAATGGGGGTAAAATTTTTCAAAAAATTATCTAATTAAATACCTAGTAAATTACAAAAACTTTCGATTGATGTAGCTGTACCCTATATATTAATAATTTTAGATATATTTAACAATTTCGAAACTTTTAAATATATGGGTGATTCTACAAAAGTTGGGCAACTTTTGACCTCATTTTGTTTATATAGTTTTCGGAGAAAATTAAATAGTATTTTGTTATGAGAACATAGATAATATAATAAATATACTGTTCCAGACCGGGCCAGTCACTTTTTTAAACAGTTTCTGAAATATCTGTGTTTTCTAAATTTGAATGAGTACTAATTAAATACATAATTTATTGGAAAATATAAGATTTATTGCAACTTTGAGCATATTATACATTAAATATCTTAAAATCAAATAATACCACACATCAGTGGCGGCTGGTGGATTTTGGGTATATCGATATCTCAATTATTAGATATGGGACCCACACCAAATTTATATGAGTTTATAATGACATTAAATAAACAAGTTCTGCGCAAGCAGAATTTAAATTGAAGTTTGCGATAAAAAGATAACCGAAACATCGAACATGGAACTGACGACACGGTACTGATGAATGGCATACAAATTTGAGATTATAATTCGGAATTAAGTATTTTACTGATATTTTTTATTATTGGATGCTACTTATCAACAAATCACATATAGCCTTATATAAATTACAATGAAATATATATACGTAAGAAAATAACTATTCACCACAGTACTGACATTTTGACTGGAACTATACATGCATTCACCACAACTTCGCCGCTTGCATGGTTTTCAAGATGACTGTCATGCAAAGGGCGCGGGCTCTGTAGGTAATTTTCTACCAACACTTGAGTTAAAACGAGGACTTGACGTTTAAACTTCAATATTTCGCAGGAATTTTGAATTTTAACATTGGACACAGAACTGACGGGTAAAAGTGAGTACGAAGATTATCAATTTTTTAAAAATTACTTAATTAATATTACTTAATTAACATTACTTAATTAATATTTTGTTAAATTAACCTTAAAAATTAACTTTGAAGTAAAACTTTTTTTAAAGTTATTTAATAAGTTTTATTTATGTTATTTTTTTCTATTTTAATAACCCTTAAGTTTCAACACTTTAAAGTATTATGAGGAACGTAATTTTTACGAAAGAAAATGACTTATAATTATAATTAAAATTATACACTTAAGTGTATTTCACCTGAATTTAACGGATTATTTAATTAAAGTGAAAAAAAGGTCAACGTAAATACTAGACACCCTGTGTAAAATTTTAAATACTATTAATGGCTTTCGATAGTGCTCCTTAGTTAAGAGGTACACTAAAAATTATTTTTTTAACATTACAATTAATGGTAATACAGACCATCTGCCAACTTGATAACGCATGGAAAATAATTTTAAAAAATTGTTTACATTATTGCCTTATAATTGCTATACAAATTTCAAATCGATATCTTTTTCCGTTCCTCTTCTAATGAATAAGTTAGGTAAATATAATATAATAAAAAAAATTATTTTAAAAATATTTTTTAATTATCTTAATATTATACATATATAGTATAATTATAATTTACTGTGGAAATATATCTAAGATACATTTTTGGGTCATTGCTTTTATGATTCCCCAGCCTATTTTATCGTTAAGTAAAGCGTTAAAAACTTCTACAAAAAGTGGACCAATAACTTCGATAAATAATTCAGGATTGTTATTCATTTGTTCGGGAACTTTTTCGGATATTTCCTTGGAGATTTTGGCACTGTATTCTTCGTCGTCGTACAAACCGGTTATTTTGAACTGGTAAATTTTAAAAAATTATTATTTTAATTAGTTTTTTTTTTGTAAAACTCACGTCCAATGCTTTAAGTAGGGCAGGGGCAGATAGTTCCTTTAATTCTACCTTTCCTTTTTTAACAATAGCTTTAACATGCCCAGTCACATTTAATCCTACTAAACCAATTCTGCAAAAATATCAAAATTATAATACATTTAAAATTCGCTTTTTAAAAATTATTTTGATTATGAAAAACCCATTTTTAAACGATAATCAGGCCAATTCTCTAACATGAGTCGTTAACGTTAGCCACTAGAATTAGTGGTTCTCGTTATATTCAATCCGTCTGATTGGCGGATTGGTATATACCTATATTTATATGGTTATAACCACTGATCTTCTACTATTAAACTAGTCATTTTTCATATTTTTTTTTATTAAAAAACAGTATATCTAATGCAAAAATGATAGAGGAAAAACTTTCTTGTTGGCCTGTTCTATCATCACCCAAACTATGACAATTTATTAGGTGACACCTTGTATACTTCAGCTTATTTATCTTTTTTAGTTTGTAAATAAAGGTACCTCAGTGGTAAAATCGTTTCCAATTTGTTTTGCACAGAATCACAGTAAATGTTTGTAAACATTTTAAATTTGATTATAACAAGTGGAGTAAATCAAGGCTACATTATTTGCCAGCCATACAGAAACAACAACAAATTAAATAATTGGTTTGGGTTTGCTTATTTATTTTCCCTATTTTATTTAGGTATTTATGTAAAATACCAAAATTCCTAACTGTTTTTAAAAAGACAGGACTTTAAATCAAACATGTAAATTTAGGTAAGTAATATTACTTATAAGTTAAAAAGTAACATTAGAAGTTACATAACCTTATATTACCTTCTTATTTTAATCTTTAAAAATGGTTAAGACTAGTTATTTTTTTAGACATTTTTTGGTTTAGTTTAACTTTTGATATAACTTTTTGGTAAATTAACCACAGCTTTGGGTAATTTGGATGTATTTTTTTAACCAAAAAGTTATATTTTACCAATTTAATTTTAACTGGCTGGTAAATTAACGGTATATAATAAACTGGTTAAAAAAGTGATGTTTTGCAGTTTTCATTGTTACCTACATAAAAAAAATGAGTCTTAATCAGTGTTGCCAGATTCTTTATACCAATTTTCTTCAATTTAACCTTAAAAATTCTTCATATTTCTGCAGAGATGTAAAACGTCATTAAATAAAAAACCTTCTGACTTGATTAGGTACTTAATAATAATAAAAAAAATATTTTTAAAAGTCAAATATCTTTTATGGTAAACAAGAGATAAAGTATTACAAATTAAAGAAAATGAATTAATTTTATAGGCAACAAAAAACTATACACCATGATTTAGAAATTAAATAAATTATTTAATTTCATTAAATCTAAATGTTCTTTGGTGACAGACATTTTTGCAGAATTTGTACCTAAATCTTTAAAATGGGTACGCAATACGCAAAGGAAATTAATCTATGAATTCAATGTATTTTCTTTTTGTTATTTTGTTTTCACATCATTCATTATTGAAAACACCCTTATAAAGTATTGCATTACACCATCGACATTCAAATTTTGTCTCTTCACTTGGCACTTCACAGAGGATTTTGGAAAATCTTAAAATAAGATACAAAATACTTAATTATTATTTGCTGTGACAAAGGCACTCATTTAATTAATAAATATGCATACATATTTAAAATTTTAATATTTACCCTTGAGAATATTCTTCACTTGAACTCATTTTTAAATAAATCTCTAATACACAATGCACATGTGCATGCAATCCTTAAAATATAATATACCTACTAGGTATATTATAATTTATAATATAATAGGTATAGGAGTTATGATTTATAAATTATAAATAAAATAAATATACCTATTTTATACCAATCATATATATTAAAATTCGGGGCTTCCCTATTGTAGCACCAGTGATGCAATTAGAGTATTATACCATTTTACCGAGAGATGTCAGAATGCATACGAAATGAATAAAATAATTACATTTAAAATTTAAATTTTAAATCATATTACAGTGTTAATATCGAGTTAAAGAATTAAATAATCTAGAAAATTAAAAAAAAAATAAAAATGAAAAAAAAAACATGTGACTTTAAAAAATTCTTCATATTGTAGTGGTTTTTGTAAAATATTCTTCTTTTCTTCATTAGCTCTCGATGTAGGCTAAAATTCTGCATATTGAAGAAAATTCTGCATTTCTGGCAACACTCTTAATACAGCTTTATATATAAACCTATAGGTTGTAAGTTTTGTGTGATATTGGAGCCAAAAAAAAATAATTTTGTAAAATATAAACTTTTTTTAACATATGTACTATAAAAGAGTTAACAAATTTGTAAATAATTATTTATCTACAAATCTTAAAACAGTCCCCTGACATTTAATTAATTTGAAAGGCATTTATAGGTTTTATCAAAGGACAGATGCGTTTAATAAAAATTTAGCAGGGCTGCAACTAAAATCAGAACGTAAGATCGGCTGGAATTTTTTTAGGTTAGTTATTTTAACAAGATAGTTTAATTTAACTAATTTTGGTAATTATTAACTATAATGTGTAACATTAACCGAATTTAAACCCAAACCAAAGAGTTAACCGATAGGTAGGTAAATAAAGTGGTTATAACCACTTTATTTACCTACCTATATTATAATTATATTATATATTATATTATAATTATAATTAATTAAACACAATAAAATAACCAAATGGTTTAAATAAACTTGCAGGTTAATTTAAATTGGTTATATAACCAATTGTCCATTGCTGTCCATTATAACAAAAGGAACTGCCATTAATTTTATTGATTTGTTTTATTCCAAAAATAAAGTAATTTAAAAAAACGAGTGATTCCATCTATCGCATTTTGCTTGAAATCAGTGTAGATAACTATAAATTACAGGTCACTGTAGAATAAATTTATACACATAACCTAAAATGATTCATATGTCAAACGTCAAACCTATGACAAAATGTAACAAACTCGAAAATATAAAACGTTTAAAAAAATAGTATATACAACACGTCGGAAGAAGCATATTAACTGCCTCGTTCGCGAACGCTGAGCTTGGCTTGTACTATTTTACTCACGATATTTTTCCTTGTCCATTTATTTTTTGGTCCATGATGGTCATATCGGTCTTGTAATCGGCAACGTTGGTAACGTTTTCTAACCATATGGTAAAATCTACAGAGATAGTGGGTGGTACTAATACAAATTTACCTTTTAGGTTGGAAACAATAAAGTTTACGATGTTTTCTGCTATACCATTGTCTATTGTTACATAACCGCTAAAAATATATTTTGAAATTGTGTTATTTTTTCGGATAAAAATATAATAATGGAATCAATTGGTGTTTTTTTACCTTGCATTAGAAAAGTTATATTTGTCCAAATCAACAGTATAATGCTTTATTGTCAATGGGTTAAATGATGGTAAATTATGGTCTGGCATACCATCTGCCAGAGTTTGTCTTACGCATTCTACACTTTGGTTGATGTAGTTCTCGAAAACTTGTAAATTTGGGCGATTTTCTATAAATACAAATAATTTATATTGTTTAAAAAAAGTTAGCTACTTACCAAAATGGTTTATATCATAGGCACAAGCAGTGCCCAAGAGGAACACCGCCAGGCATACATCAATTAATTTAAACATTTTTTAATTTAAAGTCGAACAATAAAGATTGATTTTATTAATTTTGCCCTCAATTTATGTAATTTTAATCTACCCACTTAAAATATTTTATGATAAAATATCCTATTTTTATATTAGTTTGAGTACCAAGTCACCATTTTTATTGTTGATAAATTGCTTTTATTAATAAAACCAATTCATTTAAATAATAAAAATTTCATGCGTCAGCTGTATACAGGGCGCCTATTTAAAAACGAGCAATGCTATATAAGTCGATAAAAATGATATCAAAATTTTCTAAAAACAGTTTCTAGGATATGTGACAAAATGACCTTCACCAAGCAACCGCTGGGGCTTTAGCCACCCCAACTCAATTTTTTTAAATACCAAGAGTACTAAAAAACACTTTTTAATAGTTTAATTTTTGAAAACTAGGCAAAATATTTTTTATAATTATGTATTTTTGTTATAAATATCAAATTAAACCATTTTGTTGTTTTAAAAGCATAAAGGACACCAAATAATTCTAACAAAAGAATAATAAACTAAAAAAGCATAAATAAACAAATTGTTCACCTATAATCAAATCAAATTTTAGCTTTTTAAATTAAATGCTGAAAATAACTCCCATGATTATTTTGAAATATAATATTATTGAACAATTTCAATCTTCAATGGAATGTGTATGTTGTTGGTGAATTTTTTGTATAGAATTTATAAAAACTTACAAATCGTATACTAAAATAAAAAAAAATCAAACATAAGGGGTATTATATTTGATAATGATTAGAGCCTGGATTATAAGCAACTTAAACTTAAAGCTTGAAATATGCAAATATGACGATATTAAATAATAACAAAAATTTTATATTTTATGACATGCTGATCTACTAGCAAAGGGCGAAAACTATTAGCCTACTCTGAAAAAAATAATCTGTTAAAAGAAATGAAAATCACTTTGATTCGAAAGATTTGCGATTTTGAATAGGACCAAGAGCTATGTTTCTTAATCTAAATCAAAAACAATCTTAACATTATTTTTTTTAACTTACTCGAGGGAAGAGATTAATCTATTCGTTTAAGGATATTACAATATTAGCTTAAATCAAGAGCAAGAGATTTCTTTCGTACAAGAACCAAAAATATATATACATTTAAATAATAAAGAAAACGTTTTTTAACGCAAAAATAACAAGAAAACTGCATCTCTTAATTAAAAAGGAACTTTCTAAGAAAGAAAATTTGTCTTGCTACAAAAGCATATACTATCGACCTAACCTCATTTTATTTTGATTTTGGAGCAAATATCTCTAGGTCCAATAGTATGTGTAGTATTTGATTTTAATTATTCGTAGTGCACTCATGAGGGGAGTTTAAGCCTTAATATTGGTATCGTTGAAATCTAGAACATTGTCTGAAAAAAAGGTTTAAAAAAATATTTAAATAAAATAAGTCATTTATTGTTTGATATCAACAAAAGCGCAAGTTTTTTATATTAACACCAATAAACTAACAGAAATATGATTTAATATAAAATTTTCATTACATTTTTTAATTGATACCGTACTTTCAAAAACATTAAACAAATTAATTAAATTTCATATATTTAAAAAGAGTTTTAATGATTCCAACTCCATCGTGAAAGTACATACAACACGCCATAACACAACACAACCTGCAAAATGTATTTTAAAAATACCTATAGGTATATAATTATATATAAAAGAATTATTATATTATATCACTGCCCCCAGAGAATGGCGAATTGCAAGTTGCAATGTATACAAAACGCACTTAACACGTTTACCTACCGCGAACGGTGTGCGTGTTTTGCATCCATGTATATCAGAAGCCAACAGATTTTGTTAGAAAATTGACATGCTATTGGGATAATTGTGATGTATCTTGAATGAATTGCATAAATATAAATAATTTTCATAGCCTTTGAACAAAAACACTTTGCACTTGGTTGAAAGAAGAAACATTCAAGTATTTTGTATGTGTTTTCAAGAGAACTAAGAACTTTTTTCTTCATGCAATAAATACTCTTTTATGCTAAAATATTGTTTCTTGCCGCTAATATGTTTTTATCAAGAGAGTTGACTATAGTTTAAGGGGACCTTTTTTTCAGTGTACTTATACCTATATATAAATTATTTAAAACTGTTGTCCGATGTTTTATAGTTTTTGTCTCGATTAGTAATATTTATTATTTTATTATTTATAAAACAATTGCAACTTATCTTTTTGACCTATAATCAAAGGTTTAGTTTTTAGAGTAAAAACGTAATTTAAAAATAGTTTTTTAAAGATTTACTGGGCTTGCTATTGACGATCCTATTAAAATTGAAATTAAGAGTTGGAATTTTAGTGAATTTTTATTTTTGCATGTTAAGTCGAAAAGAAAATATCGTATTTTGAAACGCCATAACTATTTGGAGAAATAAAAGGCGATGCAGCAATAGGATGCTCATATACAATTCTGCAGCTTTTATTAAAACTGGTCGCTAGTGACTTTTAAAAGAAATTCTTTATTTCTAAACAACATTTCTGAAAAGTAACGCCAATGCATTTACAGTTGGTTAGTCTTCGTATTAATTAAAAGAATTTTTTATGTTCAAATAATGATACTGCACAGAAATAACTTTTTTGGGAATAGTTATATGTATATTAAATGTCATTGTAATAAAAACCAATCTTAACCTTACATCTAATTAGTTTTTGTTGGGGACAACAAAAACAACAGCTAAAAACAAAAACTAATTAGATGTACGGTTAAGATTTGTTTTATGACAATGACATTTAATATACAGGGTGTTATGTAATTAATGTAATATATTAAAATACTAAATACCTTTTGACATAAGGTATAACGGAAAAATATTTAAAAAAATATTTTCCCACTGGTTACACACTTGTGTTGTGTGAGTACATATATACCAGTTGCCAGTTGTAAAAAATATTTCTTGCAAAAAATAAATAAAAACTCAATAAATACAAAAGTTAAAGCTCTAATACCCTTCTGTATTTATTTACTCATCCAGCTATTAGCTTAAGCAAGGATTAGAAAATTTAGTAGGTACCTATTTTAACCACAAAATTAATTTTTTTCATCGGTGTTTTTCTTTCTGTTTACTCAGATGAAATCAGGACGAGTTCACAGGTTAAACTTTAAACATTCAATTTGTGTAAATAAATCCAAAAGCACTTCCATTAGTTAATATATTTACAATTTGAGCCCATAACCTAAAATTTGAAAAAAATGCACTAGATTTTGTCATGAAAGTTGCCAGATTTTATTTGAATTTACCTTAATTACAAAAATGACATAATAAACAATTAATAAAATCGCGAAATTAACAATTTGCATGGTTAATTTTGTCATGTTTGTAATTAAGCTAAATTTTAAACAAAATTTGGCAGCTTTTTTGACAAAATTTGGAAACGCTGGTTGTTACCAATCATAACATAATAAATTAAATTAGGCAACCAGATTAGCCTATTATAATTTGTTATAGTCTTTAGAATTTATAAAAAAAAGTTTCAGGTGCTTCTTTACATAACACCCTGTATTGTGAAAAGTTTTAGTAAAGGTAATTTAAATTAATACGTTATATATTTTAAATAAAAAAATATTTTCTCGATTTTTATGTAAGAATGTCATATTCTCGCACGCAAAATCGTTGAAGAATGAAGCTCATTCTTAAACGATTTTTGGTAACATTTAGTTTTTAAGTATTGGTACCCCCAAAATGTCAAACTGATTAATAACCTCAAATTCATTACTTTTATTGAAAATGAAGCCTTTATTATTGTTTTGTAATATAAAGTTTGCTCCAACAATGCATTTTAATGCAAAATTTTAAGTTTAATGTGTAAAAGTGCAGTTCAGGTTGTACTTGTGCAGGATAACAAATATTGTCATTTTGTGTTGCCAACTGACATTTTGCGAGAAAAATCCCCTAACTAACAACGACCACAAAACAATTAAAAAAACCTAAATAAAAGTTAAAATCGAGAAAATAGTATAAATCACACGTTGCAGAAGGCTATTCTCGCACTCATTCGTTCGTCCACTCGCTCCTTCGTCGCTCGAGGCCAAATTTCGAATTCGTGCGAGAATATGTGGCCTTCTGCAACTTGTACTTTAATATACTATTTTATAAGAATAAAATAAACGCTTATAAAAAGAGATGATAAATGGGCTGAAGGACAATAATGAAATATTTAATTTAAAAAGAGTTTTATTGAAATATTTTCCGGAAGTTTTACAAATGAATTTTATTTGTTACATCCGCGTAGTTCTGAAGAACTCATTAATTTTATTTTGTAAAATGCTGCTAAACGGAATCAAAAATAAATGCCAAAACGTTATATTGCTATCCAGTAAAATAATTTATTTTCAAATCAAGGCTGTAATATCTGGATTAATATAATATACTAATGCAACATTTTAATCTAAAATAATAAATGCTCCAGTTATAAGTATTCTTAAACCAAAAAAAGTTGTATGAAATTTATAAAAATAAAATAAATTATTCGAGTTAAAAAAATCGGTCAGGCGGGTTTAACCTCACTTTTTTTCAGACTGACACGGGCTGTTATCGTTTTATATTGCTTAACAGTGTTGTGAATGTTAACAAAAATTTATACTGCAAATTTAAATATTTTACTTTGGTATTTATGGTGTACGAGAAATCCCAGTAGTATTTTTATATTTTCCTTCTGAAAAATCATTTCTCCAATTCTAGCCGACTTGAGCTCATGGCGCGTTAAACACGACAGACGCGAATTCGTTCAACGTCAAAATAAATCAAATTGCGCTGTTTTCACAGAATTTGCAACTTAGGGACCGTTTTATCAAACAACGATTTTTACAGTTTCGTTTATTTATTCTTTGCCATTTTTTTTAATTCGACATCTTGGATTATGCTGAAATAAAATTCAGTAAAACTACAACTCTTAATTTTAACTTTTATGTAATTCTTTATCGAGTTTTAAAATTTTTTATTAAAATTACACTGGAAAATGTTTTTCAAACTTATACTTACTTCTTTTCGCGCGTGAAGTGATGTCGCAGCTTAAC